GACAGGTCTGGCTTCTGCTGTTTTTTCCTACGAACCTGTTTCACTAATGCTGTGGGAGCTCAGCTCTCGTGTGACATCCATGTCGTGGTGGGACTGACAGGCAGCCTTCGATGAGCAGTCCTGTCTGTCTTCCTGGGCCTAACATCAGGACAGGCCCTACTGGCCGAGATAAGAATTGCACCAAACCAGAAACTGGATCCTTGAGACAGGGCTACTCGACATACAGCCCCTCCAATCTGCTCCATTACACAATTTTGACACTGCTTCATTATTTAGCGGGTCATTAGAAGGACTGGTTTCCTCCAGGTGCTCCAGTTTCCTCCCACAGTTCAAAGACATGCTGGTGGGTGACCTGGTTTCAGGGAACACTGGTCCTGGTGTGAGTGTGTGAGTGTGACCCCACCTTGCGCCTCTCTCCTGCAGGGATGGGCTCCAGCTACCCCCTGACCCTGAATTACAAAAAGTGGTTAGAAAATGGACAGATGGCATGACGATTCAGAAGTTGTTCACATGAAAATAGTGCAGTGGAGTAGATTGGAGTAAGCTGCACCTTGAGATTGTCTGATTTATTTTATGAAGCCAGGTTGTAATCATTCTTTTGTAAAGCTGATAAACCTATATTTAGTATCATTCTATTTGGAAATGTTTCTGTTGAATTATCCAGCCCAAAAATACCCACATCAACATAACATCACTTTATTAGCCCTATACAATTTCTTGCATTAGGAATTCGTCTTTTCGCATACCCCAGCTTGCTCTCCATGAGACACAGACACACAGAGAGACGCTTGGGGTCAGAGCGCAGGGTCAGCCATTGTACAGCACCCCTGGAGCAGCTGGGGTTAAGGGCCTTGCTCAGGGGCCCAACAGAGCCACCACTCCACCCACATCACCATCATTATTATACTGAGTGTAGTGATACCAGTGTGTAACCCCACTGACTGTGGTGATATCAGTATGTAACCCCGCTGACTGTGGTGACACAAATGTGTTACCCTGCTGACTTTAGTAATACGAAAGTGTAACCCAGCTGACTGTGGTGACACGAGTGTATAAGCCTTCTGATTGTGATGATAGGAGTGTGTCACCCTTCTGACTTGTGATAGTAGTGTGTAACTGTGTTAACTGTGGTGATATGAGTGTGTAACTCAACTGACTGTAGTGATACGTGTGTATAAGATGAGATCCCTTTATTGGCCATATACAATTTCTTGCATTAGGAATTTGTCTTTTCGCATAGCCCAGCTTGCTCTCCATGAGACACACAGACAGGGAGAGAAGCCTGGGGTCAGAGTGCTGGGTCAGAGCGCAGGGTCAGCCATTTATACGGCGCCCCGGAGCAGTTGGGGTTAAGGGCCTTGCTCAGAGGCCAAACAGAGTAGGATTCCTCTGCCAGCTGTGGGATTTGAGCCCGCAACCTTCCAACCAGTGGCGGAGATCCATAGCCACAGTGCCACCTCTCCGCCCCCCAAAAATACGGAACGCTTCACGACTTTGTCATCCTTACGCGATACGAGTGTGTCACCCTGCTGACTGTGGTGATATGAGTGTGTAACCCTGCTAACTGTGTTGACACGAGTGTGTCACCCTGCTGACTGTGGTCATACGAGTGTGTAATCCTGCTGACTGTGGTGATATTAGTGTGTAACCCTGCTGACTGTGGTCATACGAGTGTGTAATCCTGCTGACTGTGTTGACACAAGTGTGCACTAACTGTGGTGGTACAGGTCCACAACCCCGCAGTAAGTGTGTCTTCCTGTCCCCCGCAGGCCCTCCCCAGTCTGGACGGTGAGCACAGCAGCACTACGGGCCTTACCCTCAGAGAGGCTGCAAGTGCTGGCCCGGCCCCAGGCCCCCAGCCTGCACTGGATGCCTGATCGCCCCCTGGTGTCCGAGGTAGAGTCTTGCATCTCCCGATGCTTGCACTGTGCAGCCCAGTTCAGACTCCATCTGCAGGGCAACTAGAGATATTATTCTGCATATAATCTACCGTCACATGCTGGGTATTTCATGCATGATACCTTACTGTAAATACATTTGCAGCGATAGATGCAATATTAAAAAATAAGGAAACACATTTACCTTTCTTCTTTATCCATGCACTATGAACAAGAGCCCTGTAGGAGGTCAAACCTGAAGTAGATGTGAGTGTTGTGCAGTTGGCAGTCTGATTGCTTCCACTGTAAGAAAACAATTCACAAATCGCCATCGAATATTTTTTTCCCCAGGAAATGAGTGTATCTGTAACAGTCCCACAAACGGACACCTCTCTCTCACGGATACCTCACCACTGCAGCTGCTGTTGTTCCACGCCGCTCCCTGTCGCCCCCTGCAGGTCAGCGAGGCAGTGCTGCGCGCCGTGCCCAGTGCCCGGGTCTGCCAGCTGGCGCAGCCCAAGAGACTGGCCCCCCTCTGGGCTTCAGCAGAGACAAGTGGAGACCCCTCGCTCTCTGAAGCTCCCCGATGTGCCGGCGTATCCCCGCGGATTGACCTGCTTGCCAGTGAGCTGTCCTCCACTAGGACTCCTAAATCTGCTCTGTGTGTCAGTGGGAAGTTTCTGATGTGCCACCCGATGGCAGCTTTCTGTGTCCCAGCATCTCTGGGCACTGGGAGCTGGCTCTGGGTTTGTTCTGGGTGTGGGGGGGGCGTGCTGATTTCTTCTCAGACCCCTCGATCAGGGCCGAATGTCTCACACCTCCTGTGTCTCCCTCACCAGCTCCAAAGGCAGAGCACCGCCTGTACCGGCCCGACAGGGACGTGGCCTGGCCGGTGCCGCCGTCCGCGCGGGCCGCCGTGGCCTCCGACCGGCTCCTGGTGCTGGCCAAGCCACGGGCGCGCAGGGCGCTGTCAGACGGGTGTGACCCCTACCGGGTGAGCTCCCCCGCCCGGCGGGCCCAGGCCACCCCCCGCACGCTGGAGCTGAGCGCCCCCCTGGCACGGAAACAGCGGCAGAAGAAGGCTTGACTGATGGCGTGGGGGGGCGGGGGGGCTCCCCTCTCCTCCTCCTGGGGAATAAAGGCACACCGGGGGCAGGGGCTCCTGCAGCATGAGCAGTCTGGTGGTTTCGTTCCTTCCTCTGTCACAAGTGGCTGTGTGTGGATTTCCGGGCCCGGTCCCGATGAGCGCTGGGGTCCCGCCCCCCCCGGTCCAGCACTGCAGGCTGATCCCAGAGAGTTTATCAGCTTCACTTTCGTCCCCTGGGACCCCAGCTTCAGCCCTGACAGCCAGAACTGCTGTCAGTGGAGCAGCTGAGCCGCTGGGTGCTGGGTTGGGGTGGGGGGTGGACCTGTAGGTTTTCTGTTTGAGCAGCTCTGGTCCTCTCGGTGCCCTAAAAAAAGTCTTCTGAGTTCATTGTCGTCGTCATCATCTTTATCATCATCAGTCATTGCTGATCCCCCGCATGATGAAGGTCTCCCCATTGCTGTGTCATACTGCCCTCTAGCTGGTATCAGTGCTCGTCTGGAGCGCTCTGTGGTGACGTGCTGCGGAGGGCGCTGTATCAAACAAATCTGATTGATTGGTTGATTGGTTGGTTGGTTGGTTGATTTTCTTTCAGCTGAGAATCCCTCAGCGAATAAACTTGAAGATTAATCATCATTCTCTTTACAGCAGACTTCACTTTTTAATCTTATGCTTATGAAACCAAAAATTGATTTAACATGATAATCCAAGGGTTTGCTCACTTTTATTTTCAATAAAACTAATGTCTCGTGTGATTTTCAATACGATATGTGTAAACTAAACATCTGTAAATATAGGTGCAGTTAGATGTATTTCTAACGGCATGGTGCTCACATGCAGTCCTACCTCACTGTTTCATGAACCTGCTGTGATTCTGAAGCCCCAGGCAGACTCCTGCTGTGGTTTCAGGGGGACAGCGGATCTCTGCCCCTGCAGGCTGGGATCTGTTGCCCTCAGCTTCTCGAGAGGCTGTGATGACCCAACAAGAACACTGGTGCTTACCAACCTGGCCAGTGGGGCTGATGCAGGCAGCTGGGGGCCTGTTTTAAAGTCCACTGCACCGAGCTTGAGCTTCTGAAATGCAACAGGCTAAAATATCCTGGTGTCTGTCCCTCAGTTCTGACCAGCACCTCAGGACCAGACGATGTGAAATAGCCGGAAAGCAGAACAGATCCATTCCTCCTCTTTGCTGAAAGGGTGGTGTTCTGTTGTAATTGTCCAGGTGATGGTTCTGTCCAAGATCTCGGCTCATGTTTTATCCATCCAGAGCACGTGGTTCTGCTGGCACTGGGAGTCAACGAGCTGCTTTGGAAAATGTTTTTCTTTTCTTCCTGCCTGCAGAGTCACACGGTTAGCCTGGAATGGTGTCTCCAGGGTTCTGTGTCCACAAATGGGATCTTGGGGTGCTTTTTTCTTGGAAGGGGAGTCTTGGGGGTATCGTATCCTCAGTTTGTTGTATTTGAAGACATTTTACCCTGATTCCAGAGGTTTTGGAAGGTTTCTAGTTATTTTCACAAGCAACTTTCAGGTTTCTTCCTCTTCCTGGTGAGATAGTAACCATTCCATTAGTCCTGGACTCCTGAGTGCTGACTCAGGGGTGAAACTGGGGTGTCCTCTGAACCTAGAGGTGCTGTGATTGATACTCCTTCACCTTGGATCATTGGACAGATCTGACTTTACCCCAGATGACTGGGTTTTTCTCCGAGTTGAGTCTCCTTTAACGACCAGTAACCATCAGGGTGACACCTGGGGGTTTCTATGGGCTTTTGGGGGCCTCTGACTCCCTAAAACTAGAAAGTGACTAAAAATATTTAAAGAATACTTTTGCAGCTTCAATTTTCAACATTTTGAAATACTTCTATTTAACTGGGTTGTTAAATCGATTTCTGTATAGCAGTATAACATAACAGAATAGCTGTGTACTCCGAAATAAAATATTCTGGTATGATATTGATAAATGTAATACTGCTTGTCACTTATTTTAGTCACATTGGAATACACAAATGCCGAGAAATCTTGACGCAAGCCTGCATTTTACAAGCTGAATCGGGTTTGATTTGGAGATTTTCGACGTGTCCGCCTGGCTCGCTTCTCTGATCCTGTCTTCGAGTTCTGGTTCTGTTTGTGTTCAAACAACCTCTCCGCAGCCGAGCTCTGTTTATTTGTTGTTACTGGAGAGATGTTTGGGTTTGCTTGTCTGTGTGAAAGAAGTTTGCACTGTAAATTTTCACCACCCGTTGTATGACCCTTTCAACGTCCCATACAGCTTGACTGGAACCGAACCGCCTTCTGTCCGGTTTAATTATGAGAAGGGAACACGGACCGACACGGGACACCGTTTACTGCTTGCGCACTTATTTAAAATGATTTTTATTTAATCAAATACAAAAACAATCCACATAGTTCTGGTTAGTTTCGTTTGACTGGCGGTGAATGGGGTTCTAGTAAAAAATAAATAAACGACCACTTTTATTGTAGCAAAAAGTTGTATTTCTTTGTGTATTTGAAAGAAGGCTGAAATTGTGCCGGAACCCGTTAAACAAACTTTTCTTTTACAGATCTAAAAAGCCGCGCAATGAAGCGTTCGATACTTTGCACGTCTGATCTCCAGATGTATCCATTCAAACTCTCCTGGCGTGCGTGTGGAGGTGCCAGAACCTGCTCGCTGTGATTAAACGATTGTCATTTCTGTCCTTATCACATCGCAACAACTTCCAATATCCTCGCTCCTCCATCCGCCAATAAACCGCACGGCTCGCGCAGCAGACCTCCGCTACATCCGGGCACTCCAGTCAGCCTGCGCAGAGACGGAATGGCGGAGGTAAGTGAGTCGGAGGGCTGGGGACGGAGAGAGACGCCGTCTTTTTTTTTCGAAACTGCGCTTTCCAGTCGGGTCCGGGTCGCCCCAGGCTGTGGGTTAGACGTTTGCCTGTCGTTTGAGGGGGTCCCCGGCGGGCGTCGGGGCCTTCGCCGGCGTATCGGAGCGAGTAAACATGGGGTGGTATCGGCTGCGATACCCCCTCGCTTCTCTGTGCTTAGCGTTGAGCGGAGCCATCCCTTCGGCTGCCAAATAGTGCGCTATAGGCAGCAATGGCACGCCGGCTCGGCGCCGCTGCCCAATAGTGTCCCAGGTGCGCCCGGTAAGCATGCGTGTCTCGGGCGAGACTGTTTGTAAACTTGTTTCTCTGAGCATCCCGGCTGCCCGACAGCGTCCTGCTCCGTGGAGACGGGACGGCGCTCGCTGCCGGCTGGCTGGTGAGAGTGACTCCGAGAGGGCTCGTTTTCTTGCAGAATTCAGCACCGGGAGCTCTGGGAGAGCGACTTGGACGGTGTCAGGTGGAGAGTCGACCGTCCCAGGGCGCGGAGGTGCTTCAGCCGAGCCCGGCTGACCCGCAGAGCTCCCGGCTCACGCTAGACACGCGTCCCGCTTTCCGAGAGAGTAGTTCGGGGGAAGTTGTGTCTGGGAGGGCGCTGAGTTTTGAGGCACGCCATGGGCAGGTGTTGTGAGTCGGGAGAGGCGTCCCGCTGGCCGGTGTTCCCCCTACTGGGGTGAGCTGCCAGGAGCACCCCAGTATCCTGAAACAGGTCCCTCCCCACTCTGATTTGTGCACTGAAAAGGTCCGGTTTTCTCGCCTCCTGAAAGGTGGCGGTTGGGTTCGGCAGAGGAGCCCACCGCCCCACAGGTCTCAGCGTTGCCGTTGGGTCACACATCCAGGTTGTGTCAAATGTTGGTGAGACTCCTTGTAAAACACAGCCTTTGCTCTTGCTGTGTAAGCTTGTCACGGGGAGGGGGTGTTATCGGGGCGTTCTGCACAGCGATGCTCTATCTGTCCTCTCTCTCCTCTGTCCCTGTCCCAGGCAGTTCAATGGGCTCTGGAGAACACAGATTCACCCTGGCGGAGATCCTGAGTCACAGCTATGCAGTACAGGAACAGGACGGGGGGCATAAGTCCCTAGAGGAGCTGGCGAAGAGTCTGGGGAGCGAGCAGGTATGACGGCGAGCGGCGGTGACGGCGAGCGGCAGGCTCCCATCGCACAGCAGTGCGGTCCGTTCCACGTTTTACCACATCCTGGGCTGAAGGCTGAAGGGCACAAAAACAGACACCGGTGCTCAGTGCTCCGAATACCGGTCCTTGTGTGGGAGTGGTTGTGATATTAAACACTGAGCCCGCTGTAGTCCGGCCTGCTCCGTGCAGGAGCCCTGCCGCTGATGAGTGCAGTGGAACGGGCTGCGGTGCTCCGGCAATCCAGTCTGTTTCCCAGCAACAGCCGCCCTTTCCCAGGATTTACTGGGAGAGGTTAAAAAACGATGGATGAGCAGAGCTTGCTTTGCCAGTGTGTGTCGCGGGCTTGGTGCCGTTATGTGTGAGTGGTCTCCCTGGCTCAGTGAGGATGTGATCTGGGTGTGGCCCAGAGGCAGTTCTGCATCGGTCAATGCGACCTGAGAATACGGGGACTGCAGCTCGTGCGTGCTCGTGCGTGCTCGTGCGTGCTCGTGCGTGCTCGTGCGTGCTCGTGCGTGCTCGTGCGTGCTCGTGCGTG